TCGGAGGGGTTTTTTTTTTAAAAAAATTTTAACATTGTGAACAAATTGGTCTCTTGGAAAATTAATAAGAAAAATTACATTTCACTTTCCACTACCAAGGCTAAGTACATTACAACAGGTAGTTGTTGCACGCAATTGCTTTGGTTGAAGCAAATGTTTTTGGTTTATGAAATTTCTCATAATACCTTAAGGTTGTATTATGACAATTCTAGTGCCATAAGCATTTCCAAAAATCTCGAACAACACTCAAGGACTAAGCATATTGACATTCATTACCACTTTGTACGTGAGCTTGTTGAAAATAAGTTGATATCATTAGAGTATGTCCAAACCCAAGATCAGTTGGATTATCTTCTCACAAAACCATTGGAACTTTGAACTATCATTGGTGGCTTAGGATATTCTTTTTTTTTCTTTGTTTTCATGCATTAGAGCAAGCATTGTTTTTGTTTTTTTTGTCAAAAAAATCAAATAGAACAAAACAATTTTCTTGTTAGTTTTTGTTGTTAATAGTGGTAATCACACTTTGATTCGAATTATAACTTGTTCATCATCAATTCAAAGTTGAGTGCATTACTATGAGTCATATTAGGAGATAGAGCACTTAAAACTTATTAGTCTTAGAGCATGATATATAAACCAATTCTCTTTTACCTATGTGTGCTTAGATAGTATTAATCTTTGTGAAAGTCATAAAATCCCAATGCATGATTAGCCAATTATCTTGAATGATTAAAAGTCTTCCTAGCATTTGATTGTTAATGACTTTACATGACTCTAAATATTGATGATAGATGAATGCATAGCTAAAGGTTAGTAAATCTCTATATCTTTTAAAAATATGTCAAAGAGTCAAATGTGTGTAAAGAGTCCAATGTAACTAACTACAAAATGTGAGGTGTAAATAAAATGGCTAAAATCAATAACATTTGATTGTTGAGAGTAATATGTTGAATCTGATAGAAAATTGTAACATTGACCAGAAGTCCCACATATTTGATTTCACAATTTAGAAAGTGTATGTGTTAAATGTTATAGGGATTAGTGTTGAGCTTGATTTATTTTCACTGAGTGTCTAATGGTCTCTTTTTTGGTTCTCTAATCTCTCGAATCTACAAGAAGAAGGATGTTGTGGTATTAGTGTCTCATTAGAAGAAGGCACCTATGGAGCCTCTAAGAAAGGGTTATATGATACAGACTGCGACCCATGCTAGGTATATCTTTGACCCTATGGATGTTGACTTGATCCGAAATGTGTACACCAAAGTGCAAGCGGTCAAGTTGTAATTATAATCCAGTTAAGTCCAAATTCGAATCCATGGAAAACTTATGTTGGTGTTTAAAGTTAAGATCAATAGAGACAATGGTAAATGGAACCCTTGAAGTTTGAAAGTTGTGATGATGATGATATTTTCTAGATAAAATATACGATTCTCTAAATGGAGATAAAAGTCACTCTTTAGTTCGAGGATCTAGACAAGTGCCTATGTATTTGGGTGCTATAGTTGTGCAATGTTAATTACTCAATTAACTCCTACGTCAATAGCAACTTAATTGGAGATTAAAGATTGAATGTGTGGATTATGATCATAGCTCCAATGTCTTTGTAGGAAATCATAAGAATTGTTTATGCTGAGACTTAACACATCTATAAGAAAATCAAACAATTCTTAAAAGAATCTAATATTAGTTAAGTTATTCAACCATAAGTTAATAGGTACAATGTAAGTGAAGATTGAAAGAGTGTCATGAATACCTAGCTTGGGTATTTGCACGAAATCATTAGAATCACCTATGTCAAAACTTAACTTGTCTATAGGGGATCTANCAGGTACAATGTAAGTGAAGATTGAAAGATTGTCATGAATACCTAGCTTGGGTATTTGCACGGTTAGTAATCTTAGTGGATACAGTTTTGAATTGAACAGATATCCCCTAGATACTAAGTACAAAGCACTTTATCTTTGCTAGATACATTCAATCATTCAACATATAAAGGAAAGATAAAACAATAAGTATGAATAAAAATGCACAACTATAACTCCCAAACAATAATTTACATGTCCACACCTCTTACAAAAGAGTTAATGAGAAACTACTCACCCTTCATGGCTTTGGGGAAGCTAAAAAAGTAAGTAAATCTCATCCCTCTGAGTAGAGGAACTTATAATTACAAAGATAAAATTATACGAAACAAAATACTTATCTCCAACAAAGAATGAGTGAAACATCATTCACCCTTCAAATCCATAAGAGAGCTAGAAAAGTGAGAAAGGTTCACTCCTCTAGGTGAAGGAGAAAGTTACACAATGAAACCTAATAAAAGTAATACTAAAAGAGTAGAAGAAAACTAGTTAATTTAAAGGGTTTCTTCCACTTCCAAAATCGGGCATTGCCTCAAAAGGATAGGGGGTATTTATAGGGGAAGAGAACACAAAATTCGAATTTGAGAAGTCAAAGTTCGAAAGAGACTGTTTTGCAGTGGCGTCCGGATGGTATGAGGGAGTTCGGACAGTGGCTGAAAATGACAACTCTGCAAAAATGGTTTTAGCAACTCATTGTCTGATCTTGGTTTGATTTTCTTTGACTTTGGAGAGGCGTCCTGATGGTTTGTGACTTCTAGAAGGTCTTTCAATTTGAATTTTTTGATCATTCCCTCCACATGCTTTGCCTCCAAACATCAAAAAATCGACTTTTAACCTCTAAAATTCATGTTATACTATTACAAATCATATAATTCACATCAATTTTAACACGAATCATAAATAATTAACACATACAATACATTGAAAAGTGTAACTTTTTAGGGTTAATTAGATGTTAAGGTGATGGGAGATGAGATGGAGGTCGAGATGGATGTTCCACCTACTAAGACCAAGCCTTTTGCTTCTAGAGCACCACCACCAGTACACTCATAAACAAATACCTCACATGCCCTACCTCCATTGTTTATTTTTGACTCCGCGTCTGCCTAGTTGTTTGTTGCCATTGGCATACTCACTCGAATAGAGCAACATATGAATGAGCATCATAACCTCATTTCANTTTGACTCCGCGTCTGCCTAGTTGTTTGTTGCCATTGGCATACTCACTCGAATAGAGCAACATATGAATGAGCATCATAACCTCATTTCACAAAATTTGGACATTATTGATAGCAAAGCTTTGAGCCTTGAGAATACATAGTATGCTACTCTAGGGACTATTGGGAACAGATTGGGGCACATCAGGCAGATGTTGAAGGGCAAGGAAAAGGTTGGAAGCCTTACTTCAAATGATAGTGATGAGCCTGATGGATAACCCATAAATGGTGTAGGAAACGGTGTTGGTGATGATGCTGCTGGAGACGAAGTAGCTTAAGGATTGGAGGCATAGAATTTGGATTTTATGGGAGGATGAGAATTTTTACTATTTCATTATTCTTTTGTCTATTATTCCTATTTTGCCAGTGTTTGTGACATACACATAGTTTTTATGCTTTTTTTTGTTGGACATGTTTTTAACTTGAATGTTATATGTCTTGGACCTTTTTCTTATTCTCTTATGTTTTTCCTATTTGATGTTTCATTATGCATATTATCTTCTTCTCTACTTTGCGTGTTATGAAGTTGTATTTGGCACTTTGTCACAAAAAAAGAGGAGAATTTTGGGAGAAATTTGTTACCTAGCTTAAGGATTGGTTGAATGGAGGACCAAAAAGGATTAGTTGACTCACAATTTGTTGACTAGCTTAAGGATTAGTTTACATAATTAGATTCACGAGTTGAAGAGTAAATTGCTAACTTGAAAATTTGTGATGTTGACAATTTGAAATCAAAGGGTAAATTACATAATTGAATTGTGAATGAACATCATAATTAAGTAAATGAGAAAAACTACCAACGAAGAATTTCGCAAAAAATTCAATCGATTAGGTTTTGTAGATTAAGCATTGTCCACTTGCACTTGAAAAGAAAAATCAAAGGTCATATTTTAAATTGCTCACCCATAACACCCTATAAAACTATTCAATAATTAAGTTATGTAAAGTGAAGTAACCAAAATACAAAGGGATTGATATTTCTTAGTGGATAGTCACAACTAGATATTTATTTTTTTTCAAAATATACCCACTATCCCATTACTTTTTTTGAAGTTGAGCCGGTTAATTCAAAATATTGTCATCAATTTTATTTTTGTTGAAGTTTACTGCAGTACAATAAGAACTTAATTTGTGAACAATAGTAAAACATTCCTTAGACACTTAAATGCAAACTCCTAACATGCTAATTTTAAAGTAAATAGATGCCTCAAATGATAGGCACAAAGTTAAGCTACATATTTCAAGTGAAGATATTAAGCATATATTGTTTGGTCAAACTTGTTCATCTTCAATGGTATTCCGGTTAAAATTTTAAGACTTGATTCTTCTCAAAATTTCACAATTCTTGGACCAATGGACTCTATAAGTATGTTATAATCATAGGCGTCCAAAAAACCTGGCACCGATTCAAAAGATTCTCTCAAATTCCGTTCGAACCATAATAAACTCATCAAAAACCCTAGTCCAAACCACCTTGACTTCAATTGCCAAATTCTCCCAACTCCCTCTACTTCATAGGGCAAGTAAATATGTTCCAAAAAGATCAACTCCTACCCTTTCAACCAATCCAAATCTCATCGAAATTCATCGAGTATAGCCCAAGTTATGGCCATCTCAATCAAGGTGAAAAACACACCCAAAAACTCAACCTACATGACCCAAGAGCTGCCTCCATCCCTTTCCCATTAAAGAAGCAATGTCAACCGTAGATAAGATACAAATCCAAAGACCTATATTTGAACTTCCGGAACCAAGTGAATCCGTGTCAAATGCCTTTCAACCAATCAGCTTTCAGCTCTAGCTCAGGCCCACCTCGTTCATCTACTATTTAAACTGTCCTATAACCGTCACCTCGTCACCTCTATACTCTATCTCTCTCTCCATCCCTTCCTGACACAACTCAGTGAGTTGCAGTACCATGGCCACCGTCATCGAAGAATCGGCCGTTGCTCTCGAAATCGTCGTAGGCCCAAACGCCACCGAGCCAGCTGATGTCAACCCAAAAGCCAAGAAAACCAAAGCTCTCAAACAACCCAAAGCCAAAAAACCAGCTGCTCCCAAAAAACCCAAGTCCTCTCCGTCTCACCCTCCTTTTCTCGAGGTATATATCTTCATTTACGTTACTTTTCATTTATTTTTCTTTCTTTTATTGGGTTTTTTGGTATTGATCTAGAACGTGTTCTGTGTGTGAATTTCCGTGTAGATGGTAACAGAAGCGATTGTGACACTGAAAGAGAAAAATGGGTCGAGTCAGTATGCGATTCAGAAGTTCGTNTTTCTTTTATTGGGTTTTTTGGTATTGATCTAGAACGTGTTCTGTGTGTGAATTTCTGTGTAGATGGTAACAGAAGCGATTGTGACACTGAAAGAGAAAAATGGGTCGAGTCAGTATGCGATTCAGAAGTTCGTTGAAGAGAAGCACAAGCAATTGCCACCCACTTTCAGGAAAATGTTGCTCTATCACCTGAAGAAGCATGTTGCTTCGGGAAATCTCGTGAAGGTTAAGAACTCCTACAAGTTACCAGCTAAGTCGAAGCCTGACTCCAAGCCAGCTCCCTCTGCCCCAGCCAAGAAAAAACCCACACCAAAACCCAAAGCTCCGGTGAAGAAAGCTCCAGCCAAGTCTAAAACCAAACCTCCACCTGCTTCCAAGGNGACTCCAAGCCAGCTCCCTCTGCCCCAGCCAAGAAAAAACCCACACCAAAACCCAAGGCTCCGGTGAAGAAAGCTCCAGCCAAGTCTAAAACCAAACCTCCACCTGCTTCCAATGCTCCGGCGAAGTCAAAGCCGGCGGGAAATCCTAAGCCGAAGGCAGCTGCGAAGCCAAAGGCAGCGGCGAAGCCGAAAGCGGTGGCTGCGCCCAAGGCTAAGCCGGCTCCGAAAGCTAAGGGTAAGGCGGTGAAGGTGGCGAAGACTGCGACGAGGACGACGCCAAGGAAGAAAGTAGTGGTGGCTCCGGCTAAGAAAGCGGCACCGGCAAAGAGGACTTCGACGAGGAATGCTAAGAAGTGAAATTGGGGTAGGAAATGGAATGTTGTACGTAGTACATAGGGTTTTACAAAGGGGCAGTTATGTAAATTCGCTTTTCAGATTGTTTTTGATTTTGGACAGCCACAAGAAGCTAGAATCATAGTCAATTACTTTTGTTTTTTGGAACCCTAATTTCGATATAAGCACAATCTTTCAAATTTGATTTCTTTTTTGTCAAATTTCTCAGATTTGAATTAGTATGATTTTTATTTATTTTTCTTTATTATAATTCATTGTGGAAAACATTCGAGAATTTTAAGGAATTTTGAAACACTGGAGGGTTTGAGTCCCGTCTTTCCTGCTATTCATATATGAAGTTGAAGGTGTTAACGGAAGCGTAAGTTAGCATGCTATATTAAGCAGTTGGTGGGATTGGAAGTCATTGAAACAAATTATATCGCAGCACACAATCTTGTGTCGTTAAATCAGTTACTATTCTGAATTCTGAGACAAATGTTTAAACCTATAGGAATGCACATGATTTTAACCCATGTATGTTTTTTCTTATATTCTTATTTTAGTTGTACTTGGAAATAGTTGTTCTACATTTTGCGAAGAAACAATTCTAACTTCATCATCCATGTATGTGTATATATAAGTAGTGTGTGTGCGTTTGCACGTGTATCTTATTTTTGTGGTGGTGTTCGAGCCAAGGAGTGACATTTGAAATTCTTGTTCCTTGGAATGTAGTTTCTGTTAAAGCTGCTAATGTAGGCATGATCTAGCAAATATTCAAAATTGGTAATTGTAGACGGGACAGATTTTGGATATAATTTGACTAATGGTTATTAAGCATGTTTGTAGAAAACTGCTTTCTCTGTGGTTTGTAAATGGTGCAAACTTTCTGCAAAATGCAGCACAATTCTGATTCCTATAGTGTATTACAATGGTGTTTATCCATTGAACTCTCTGTGACTTGCATAAACTGGCTTGGCTTTATTCTAGTTTTGTGGAAACAACATGGTAATAGTTACTTGAACTTCATCATGTAGTTTTTATGCATAGTAGATCTTAATCGAGTTTGTTTGCAGTCTTCTTATTTCTTTATATAGAAACTTTATGTGCTTAATTGAAGTTCAAAATCTTCTGGCAATTTAATGTTGTTGAGTTATTATATCGCTCTAGAAAGTGACAACTATTTGGACATCGACATCTGAATCAATATTCCTAGGCTGTAAAGTTGCTTAAAGACGTGTGAGTCTTGGTTTCACTACTTTGAATGGTCCTAAAAAGGTATACTAGAAGTTACAATTAAGGTTACATCTTGAAGATGTGAACTGATTAAACTAAAGTTGAGACAAACACTATGGAAAGGATGTGCACATGGGATGAAATTGGTAAAGCAGATCCAAAAGCACATGCATTAGTTGGATATATGGATTTTAAAAGTTTGAAAGATGGATCATTAGTTCTGCTGCCTATCAAGTAGGGTTCAGGATATGGCACTTAACTGGATCCTTTTTTCACAATGTCTATTTAGGGGCATATTTTTATGGCGTACAATGGCCATATTTTCACAGCTAGCATATAACAGAACTTTTTCTTTCTTTTGTTGTTTCACAGGGAACTCACTGGATTGGGATTTTAGTTGCTTCTTATTCTGAAATAGTCAGCAGTTTGTTTTCGGTTGCCGAGGATAAAACCTGCTGCCCTGGCAAGATGGTGAGATCTATGAGAACTTCTCTTTTGCTTTATCATTGTACATTATCCAGCTCAGATATGGAAATCATTACAGAAGATATGTTTCTGAATAACAAATATGTGGCCACCACAATATCAAAACTGTGAATATTTGCATTATGTAGAATAACTTGGAGGGTTTTTTCTTAGAAAAAGGGTGGCCCGAGACACTCGCCATAGTGCGGTCTGGTTTGTAGTTTCCACAGGATGTTGCTTGTTTCATTACATGTGAGTCATGATGAGACACAGAGCTGGCCATATGTCAAAGAACGATGTTTAACTATTCATGTTTTAAGGTCCATTTCCAACACATCTTGTCTTTGTCTGACTCTGCAGTGAAACTATGGTGTGATAGAATTTTTAAAATTGTTCGACTTCAACTTAGGTGCTTGTTTTTTTAATTTAGGATTAGTTTCACTCTCAGTGGTTTTCATTGTGGAATACTAGAAACTGATTTGCTATTGATGCTAAAAATCTTTCTGGTCACAACTACGTTTTATTGCCTTAGCTTGAGCACTAATTAGTGTATATGCTACTTCTTCACACGACATCCACAGAGCAAGTGCATCAGTATGTTTGTTCTGGTTCCACTTAGTGCACAGATACGAGGTAATAGGAGCAAAACATTTGTAGCAGTTATTTTTGTGACCTTCTACTTGAGTAAAACCTATTGAATTGTTGAAAATCCTGCATTATATATTCCTAAAGAAGGAAGTAATTGGTTCATGCAACACAACCTGAGTGTAGCAATCAACTTTGTAAAAAGAGTCGAGCCAAGAGAGTAGTTTTGAAATCAAATAGTGCTTATGCTCTGGCTTATTTATTAGTATCTGATTTGAGTGTTGTCTCAAAAGAGTTAGGCTTTAGAGTCTCCTAATCTTCGAGAAAGTATATGTAGTCTTTTAGATTTACTTCAAGTGGAGATCACTGATTTAATGTTCCCATCCTGATTGAGTTTCACATTTTTTTGATAGTACAAAGGTACAAGGATCTTTGAAGGGTATTTTCTTTCTAGTTTACTTGCTATTTGTTCTTTCTTTACGTGAAAATCATCTAACCTAACAAATATAGATCAAATCTCCAGCACTATCCTCACAATAAGATGTACAATGTGAGAATGGGCTCGCTATAATCGGTGCGAGTAATATAACTGCTTGTTGGAGGGTAGCATCCACAACTGAACTCCTTGGCAAGCTATTTTATGGATGTGAGTTTGAATGAATGGGAAGTCAAATTTCATCTTAACTACGAGTGTTCTCTAATAGGAGTACTTGGAGTCTAACCAAGGTCCAGTGAAGAAGATGTGAGCTGTTTGAAAATTAAGTTGCTAGGAGGCGGACTGGGAAAATGAGGAAGTTTAGCAAGTGAATAAAATTGAGTAAGCAAGACTCAAATGTCAACCACCTTTATCAGCTGAAGATATGGTTTTGCAGGTTGAAATTATAGAGCATGAGTTGAACTGCCTATTTTGAAGAATTTGGACAAGGCATTGTTGACTGATGGTTCCAATTAATCAGTTACGTAGTCTATGGAAGCTGGTAGAATATATGATTAATGGCTTCAGAACAATTATCCATTGTCCTATGGTCTTCTGTTGGAGCATTAATATCCATCTTAAGCCATATATCCTTCCTTTCATCGAGTATTTTGTTACATTGTCAATAAATTAAGCATTAGCAATGAACTGGAACTTAATAATCCAACAGCTTCTCAATCAAGCTATCACTGCACACACATATCAGGTTCAACATGATAGTTACATGTAATTATTATTCTGACGTTATTTGATATGTTTTCCTGAAGTAATCTTCTGTTATATTGCCCACTCAATTGACCATTGAAAAAATAACTAATTTCTATCGTGAAACTTTATTCTGCTCAGCAATCTTATATGTAGGTCAGTAACATGGATCCTTCTTCACTATGCTCTTTGTCAGGTTACAATTGCACATCCTATCATACAATTGCAGATATTGTTTATTTCATGTTAATTGGAAGTAGTCGGACCGACTGGTTGTTGTATCTCGACGACAATGGATATTGTTGTGATGATAACAATTACAAGGCGGTGACATCAATAAATTACTCTCCGGTAATGATTGCAGCACTTATTTCAAGTAAGTTTGGAAGCTATTATTTTGTCGTTTATAGTTTTCTATCTGTTATTCTCAACAAATTGAGATTTTGGGTATAAACCATTCTTTAAAAGGAAGCAAAATATGCCTTCTGCTTGAGAGATTCTTTTTTGTTCAAATTAGAACGAGAGAAATTAATAAACCTCTAGTCAGTTTGTGTTCATGCGATTTGTTCTTTTATTGGGCGTAGTTTGACCAATGTGGAGTTGAGGTTTAGCAGCCTCTACTATTTAGAAAGTTTGTGTATCTTGTCAATCAAGTTTTTTTTTTTGGGGTAAGGTCTTATCAGTCAAGTTGACTCCAACCTTAGGTCACATTTTTATGTTTCATATCACGCTTCCGTTAACCGTTTCCAACAACAGCAATCATTTATTAAAAAATCTCTGCCCATGATTTATCTAGGGCTTTCCTATTGATATTAAACAGGCTTTGTGCATGCTTCAGAATGATTGCAGTTTCTCTGTCAATCATCAAGATGTGTAGGGAGTATTTCTTTAACAACTTCTTTAGCCCTGCTAAAACGCAGCAAAAGTCAAATCCCTAAAATTCCACAAGCAAAACCTTTCCTTCTAAGATTTTTACTTTTCTAATGCCTAGATGAACCTTTCACATTTATTTCATGACTCCAAACCCACCAGAGTGCCACCTATGATATTTTACATGAATCAGTTAATACAAAAAAAACCAAAGACTCCAACACATAAATATACCCAACTTTTCAGTTACGTAGAAAATATTTCTATATAAACTTATCACTGAAAAAGAAAAAAGACCATTTTAAGGATATGAGAAACAATGAGATCAACTAGACCAATGGATTAGGATTTGGAACGACTTCAGCATCGTATCAAATGGAAGTAGCTTATTTACCTTCATATGGATTTGGCAAAGCCTCGAGCCAACAATTTGGAGTTGGCTACATGGAAACTTTTGTGGAGTCTGCCTTATCTAGGCGAACCTGCATGCCCTACCATATATGTATTTGTTAAGAATTTCTACAACGAAAACTCTATCTAGCTCGAATATGGAACCTAAATGGATTATGCTGTTTTTCTTAATTTTGGAACGTATATGAATTTACTCGTATTTATTTATTGATCATTTGATGATCTGTTTTCCAATAGAATTCCTTTTCACAAAGCATTCTGCTTTATTTTTGGTTGCTAA